TAGTTCGTGATAATAAGGAACCATTAAAACCCCAAAAAATTTAAACACTTTATCCATGGCTGATAAGCCCGATGTTTTATCTTATCTATGAAAATCTATGATACAGCAGTTTTCTATATCGTGGACACACAGTCGCATAATTATAACGTATTATTTATTTTATTTAAACATAACTTAACTAAAAAAGAAAACAGCTTATATGATAGTAACTAAAAGTGGGAGTTGAGAAACCGTCTTAAACCACTACTTTTATTCTAATGGTTTTTATTTTATATAATCTGATCTGATGAAATATCTTTAAGTTTGTAAGCACGGTTTTAGATAGAATTTCTATCTAAAGTCATGCCTACATGATATATATATATACGTTCATAGTAATATTATAAAGCTATATTATTATTACTACGATACATTGTTAGTATTCTATTTTATTTTTATTTTAAAAAAGAAGTTTAGATGTTAAATTTAATAAATAACAATATAAAAATAGTACTTACATAGCTTGTGGAAATTGAAGTATTTTTCTAAGTATGATGGCTTGTTGAAGAGGTCTGTTAATCAGCTGGCTGACTATTGGTTGGCGAAGAATGCTGTTCTGCTGCTGACTGCTCTTGGAACTGCTGTGGACTGCTGTTGCTTGAACTGATGACGATAAGCTAAGAAATTCTGTGTTTTATATCCGAAAATAGCCCCTCTCTGTTCACATCAGAAACTTTTTTAGAATGGATTTAAACATTTAAATATATTAAATATCCTGCTTTCATATTAGAATGGTATTGGCATGAATGTAAATTATTTTAAATCCTGTTTGTAATAAATTACATTCATATAGTGTCATTATAATATGAAAGCAATTTATGTTAGCAACAATTTAAATTCATATTGTAATATATAATACTTAGACTTAGAATAAAACACGAGACAAATAATGAAAACGGACCATATACGCACGTACGCATTAGGTACATATATACCTACAATATACGCACTCCTTTTACATACACGCAGCACATGCAACACATAAATAATATTCTACACCTCTCCGACCAGATGCTTAGTGGAGACAACACAATCAAATATCAACGCCGCCAGTAAACACCGTATATTATAAAATCATGAAAGCATTCTTTCATATACATATATATATATACTTCAAGTCCCCTTCGATAATTCTCCAATCAAGACGTTCGGTCAAAACAAAACCATAAATTACCAGCAATACCTTGTCTCACCGCACAAAATAATAAAATATATCAATACTCTAATATCACGTATTAATCGATGCACAAGAAGAAGGGATCAACCAAAATCACATTATATAAGGGCCACAGAGAATCGACTCGTCGCCAGTGTCTATTCCGGAGATACACATGGTCCACGACAGTATCTTTCAGGAGAAGACTCATGCACAACGTCCACGCCAGTCAACATCACGATCTTTTTCCACTACTGTCCAAAGGATCACTGTGTGTTTATGCGTACCTATACAATATATGTATATTGAACCATTCCTTCACCCGGTATGTCTGTCTAAATTGGTTGTCTCTCTATCAGTTAAATTGAATTTGTTCATCTTTTACACTCACATATCCATTGATCTTTCAAAACATAAAGTTCTGTGACTATCATCATATCATAGGCCTGTTACATCACTACTGCACATTTATGTCTTATAATACGAGTACCTATAGTAATAAGTGCTCTCTTAACTTAAATTACATTCGGTCGGCGATTGAACTATACGGACTCATCGTCACGAATGTAGGAATTCTAAGAGCTATATGTAGAATATAAGTGTAGTAATAAGCGCTCTCTTAACTTAAATTACATTCAGTCGGCGATTGGACTATACGTACTCATTGTCATGAATGTAGGAATTCTAAGAGCTGTGTTCAAGATATAAATGTGTTATAACAAATATTTATCACTTTAAATTACATTTGGTAGGCGGAGAGACTATACGTACTCCTGTTACGAATGTATGGATTTTGAGAGCATATAGTGACAGTCACAGGTAGAAATTGTATACGAAATTCTACAGATCACATAAAAGAATATACATATATTGTCATCGTGATACCGACTGTCGAACACGACCCCGAAGAACTACAAACCACTTAAAAGAAAACCAGCTGCAGTGAGGTAAGTGTTTGAATGTTTATATAATAAAAGTAGGTAATTCATATATTATTAGGCAATTAGGTACAACACAGTAGTAGGGCGATCATAAGCGGAAATCTCCAATATTTATTATAACACACATATCTCTCCCTATAACCATTACCTTCCCCTACCGCCTATTTTCCCCTTACAACCTAAATAGGTTTCCTAGCTTATTTTCTCCTTACTACAAATGGCGCCAACAATTAGGCATCGCAATCACTTTGACAATTATCTTATTTAAAATAAAAAATTTTAAAATAAAACCCAAACACGCAGATCGCAAATGAATACTGTTAATGAACGAAGCTGATATTATAGAAAACTATTTACATACAAAGCAAAATAATATGACATCTGATAGAATACCATTTTACAAACCAATAAAATTTTCGGGTGCTATTCACGAAAACGTAAACTCATTTATTCAAAAATATAATAAAGCCAGTAGCCTTATTTTTTGGACTCCGAAACGAAAAAAATCATTTCTAGCCATAAATCTACAAAACACGCATCATCTTCTTAGACAATTACGAAAATTGATGCCCAACCAGATATCGTTATCACTACGATTTTACTAAAATAATAACAATTATCAAAACATTCCTCAAACAATTAATATGTGATTTAAATCTTACTTTTCGTAATATTTATTATTGAAATTATAACATACATTTTTATTTAATTTTAACTCTCTATATCTTAATTATCTTAACATTTTAAATATTAAACATTTCGACTAATATAATTCACAAAAATAATAATTAAACCTCACATTAAGTACCTCATATTTGATTAAAATCAATAAATATAAATACAATAATTATATTTTGTAATAAACTAAATTTAATAAGTATAAAATAAAAAATTTAAAAAAAAAAATTTTTGAATAGTTCTTTTCAAGGAACCTCCAGACAAAATTTTAGATAATAGAAATAACCAACACCAACAATTATTTCACATTAACAAAATACACTAAATATAATATAAATAAAATATAATTATAATAAATCATTAAACTTTGTTGGTTCTGTGGCATATACATTGAACTAGGGTATTTACAACAGTAAAATAACACGTTAGAAATTAATTTCCCTTTCAATCGTACATACTACATTTACACGTATATTTAGCAACCATGTCCAGAGGTATCGCTTTTTGGTACTCAGATCCCCCCATCCCCAACGTTAAATTCTCGCCTAACTCTTGACCGCCGTCTAACCTGGCTCACCCACATCAAAGCCAAAACTTCACAATTAAATTCCCGCTTACAAATAATCAAACCCGAATAGTCAACACAAACACTCTAAATTAAATATTAAACTACTTCTTTACAAATCTCTTTTAAAGCCAATTTGGACGTACGGCTTACAGCTATTGGGTAACGCAAAAATATCAAATCTAAATAAAATTCAACGATTCCAAAATAAAATACTAAGAAAAATTACCAACTCTCCACTATATGTCTCAAATCACTCACTGCATAAAGACCTACATATATGAAAACAGTTCAGGAAGAAGCTAAAAATTATTACAAACGATTCCACCTACGCCTTAACTCTCATCCAAACGAACTTGTAAAAAATCTGGCTTCATTAACCATTCCTGGTAATCCTCCTCGTCGCCTTAAGCGTAAATGGTGTAGAGACCTACTGTAGAAGACCACCTACAAGTTGTATATTATTAACACGTTAGTACTAATCAATACTTTATATTCAATGAACGGATATCAGGGTTATACGAATGATTGTGAAATTGTACAAAACATTGTAGTCATAAGGAAAGTCAACACAAGTATTTAATGCGAATATAAACTGTGTAATTATTATATGAATTCGGATATATAAGTACATTGTAAAGGGCAGTAGATCGAACAGTCTTATAACAAGCGTATGACTCGTACCTTATCATTGTCGATAGTGTGTGTTATTTTAAAAATACTTAATTATTAATTAACTAATTGTTATTTATTTTTGAGTTACCTTCACTTTCTACAAAAACTCGTTGTAAGCCTACCTGGCTTATAACATAATTGGTGGCAGCGGTGCTCTTCAAACATAATATACTGTATACTATCTGCAGTAGTAATACAATAAGTATAATTGTTGAAGCGGACATTCAGAAGGTGAACAATTTTTTCATTTACTACACGGACAAGGAGGTTCAGGTCAGGTGTGGCTTGTGTTAAGCCTGGTTCAAATCAGGAGTTGGTGGACAAAGGAGTGCAATCATAGAATAAGTCAGCAACAGAAAAGGAACAGTGGATACGGGCAACAGAGGAACACAACGTGTGAAAATATCACAGCGCTGAATCAATCAAAGGGGAAGTACAATCAAGGTGTCATGTTGAAGTAAAAAATTTTTTTGTAATGTTTATGTCTGACGATAGTCAAAGTAGCGATAATAGTTAGTATCGAATCTAGCGATAGTAATTATCAAGTAACAGAATTATTTGAAATTGAAATAGTAGAAATGACGATTCCCAAATTAACTTATGAATCAGGGATTAAATTTATACCAAGGTACGGGGGAGAGGAAGGCGAATTAGGCAGTTTTATTAAATCATGTGAATATGTGGATAAATGTAGTAGATAGTCTTCACACCATTAATTCTAGAAGGGATATTGGCAAAATTATCAGGTAGGGCCGATCAAGTAACTAGGTTTAAATCTATTGGTACATTTGATGAATTAAAAACCATTTTAACGGAGAATTTTGGAATATATCAAACAGTGAGTCAGTTGCAATTAGAATTAGCAGCATGTGTACAAACTAAGAATGAGGGAATAAAAGCATATTATGAAAAGGTCGAAGGTATTTGTTTTAAATTAATAGAGGCAATGGTATTAGAAAATCCAAAAAAAGCGGAAGAGACAGTGATAAACAAAATAGTGAAAAGGCAAGCATTAAATGTATTTGTAGCAGGACTGAGGGAACCGTATAATATATTAGTAAAGGCTCAGAGTAGGGATACACTAAGAGAAGCATATCAGGTAGCATTGGAGGAGGAAAAAGCGTTATTAGCTCAGGAACATAATAGGAAACTTTTTGTGAATAGCGACAAAGGAGTAAAACCAGGTGTTAAGTGTTTTAAGTGTAATAAAATAGGACATAAGAGCTTCCAGTGTTATAGTAAGAGTACAGGGCAAGGAAAAAATCAAAGTTACGAAAAGACGAATAGGGAAAGTGATAGAAAGAAGTGGGAAGATCAAGCGAAACAAACGTGTAATTATTTTAAGAAACCAGGACACGTAATGGCAAACTGTTATAAAATAAAAAATAGAACTAGTACCAAGGTGAAAAATAGTAATAACAGTAATGTAAGTAATGCACCGGTAGCGAACTCATTACCAGTCAGTGAGTCGCAGCGCGAGTGTTGACTATATCGAAATGAAAAACGAATGTGTAAAGTGTGATGTACATTGTTAAAAAATAATGTCGGAGCATTTTAGTGGATAGTGGTGCTGATTTAAATTGATTTAAATTTTCGAAATTGAAGGGAGAAGTGAGAATGTTCCCAAGTAAGACGGTACAACTAAGAGGTATAAATGCGACACCAGTTTTAACATTAGGTTAGAAACAACATTTAGAGTTAATAGCGGGTGACGTAAAACTATCCTCAGAATTCGAAATAGTATTTGATGACTTTCCGATTTGTGTGGACGGTATAATAGGGAAAAAATTATTGAAGGAATATACACTGTGCATTGACCTAGAGAGGAACGTGTTAGTAGTACCGGACAACAAAATTAATATTCCACCACGCGCGCAAACGATAGTGCCTATACGAGTGAATAAGTTATTACAAAACAAGTGTTTGGTAGTTCAAAGCCAACGCATTAATGAGGACGTGACATTGGTAGTACAATAGGCAATGTAGAAAA